CTAACATCGTATCACAAAACCATGAGGTTTTATAACTTATATGTATTCTCTTTCAATTGGATGAAAATAATCCGCAGTTCCTTTATTCGTATGCCAAGGAGCGAACTTTTGATCTGACGCTGCCCATCAGCTTCAGCACAGATTTCTTGGCAATAATTTTTGCCACTTTTGTCCAGTTTTTCGTTTTTCAAATTCTTCGATTGAATTCGCTATTTAAAAGTGTTTCTGTAAATACCCCTGAAAGGGCTCAAAAAGTTTCGATTGACCGGGCCTCCGGACAATTCGGAGGATTCATCTCTTTTGGCACGTATTGCTGGATCATGGGCCGCAGATGCCGATTCAAACACTCCCGAACGTAAATGTCATTGTTCATCGTCTCCTTCGTCACAAATGCTTTTCACAACTTGTCACATATCGCTTGCCAAACCATGGCCTTCTTAACAAATTTTTCGGTAAAAATTTACTTATCGGCATCGTCAACTTCCTGACCATCACGGACTGTGTCTAGTATTGGTCTCCGGGCGTCTTGTAGCCAAATTTGATGTATAGGTCATCGTCCATGATAATACACGTCCATTTTCCACACAGCAGGCTATCATCACATAACATATGTGGAATTCGATCATAAAAAGTCGACCCCATTTCAGTGATTTCAAGTGGTATAGTAGGACATAGATCTGTCAAACTGATTATACCAGCTGTAAATTGAGAAAGGAAATCAAGGGGGTAGTCAATTCTAATAAAATATTTCTAACGTGGTTTATAATGCTATGTCTTCTTAGCGCTCTTGAACTCATGTCTTTGTATTGCCATAATAACTTACGTTCTTGATTTATAATTATAAAGCTTTTTTAATTATGAATTATCATTTCCATAAAAAGGAAACATTTTTCGAAGATGTTTTAAGCGATGACCTGCCACCTAAAAAACGTAATTTTAAGCTGCCATGTGTTATCTGTTTACAATTCAATTTTGAATGCGATACGTATTGCTTTTCTGTAATTATGACCAAAAATTTGAGAAACTCCAAGCGAATACTTGTATATTTCTTTAAATTTGCGTGGGTATTTTTTTTCCATTTGCTTTCTCAATGATAAACTTAGATAACAAATGTATGCACCATTTCTCCATATTTTTTTTTTTTTGGGAACCAATTACATCAAACTTTGAATTCAAGCAGCAACATTTTACAAAAAGTATCCTGGTTTATATATAAGCATTGAAAATCTTAAGAAGCTGAATAGCTGAATACTGAAAAAAACATAGTGTGCATTGAGAAATTGAAGTATATTTGCTGGCGATTCTTTCAAGCCTTGTTCATTTGATAGCTGTAGTGGAACTTCTTCTTCTTCTTGGAATTAATACGTAAAACAGTCATAAATCTCTTGATATTGTGGAAAATATGCAGTGTTTTGAGCTGACCTTGCATCTTTCCATTCACAAGAATTTTGCAAGAAGGATGACAAACGAAATCGAGCGCTTATCGATACCTGTAATACGCAAGGTTTCACCCCTTTCTATGTTTCTCAATTGCTTAAAATTGAATGTTTCTAAATCCTTTGGTAAGCCCCCTGTTCCCTAGAGCTAGTCTAAAAACGAATGGCCGCATTACCTGGACAACTAGCCTTTTCGGTCACTCTGTAACTCCTTACTCCTATGGTAAAAACCTATAAGCAGTCTGTGCGAGAAACATGTTAGACATTACCTTACCCTTTCACTTCAGTGGAAAATCTCATAAGATCCTGTTAAGGTGATTCCTTTTAGAGTCCACAAATGGCTATACATTCACATCCACTTAGTTTACACACATCTCGGAAATTAATGCCCAATTTCACCTGAAATTGCTACTTCATATATGCTGCAGTACAGCAAACGTGGAGTAACAATTTCATTGTGGTAGGTATCGTAGGAGCTGATATTTGTTCACTTAAAGTTTCGAAGTGGCTACGAGAGTATGGATCTCACAGCGAAACACCTTCATCATTGCGTGAAGAGACGGTGGCTCGCTGGAACCATGGTCGAGTGAAGGATATAGGAGTAAAGAGTTAAAAAGCCACCTTCAACGTCAATACTTACACGTTATTTCAAAACTACTCAAATTTGGGTAGAATCCTCCCAGATCGATTACAACTGAACCTACTCAAAAATGGGTAAACTATGTTGGGAGTGACAAGCTGACACATGAGCAACATTGGCATGGATCCAACCAACGTTGTTCAATTGTTAACCTGTCACTCCCAACATAGTTGACCCATTTTTTAAACGATTCAGTTTTGACAATTTCAGTTTTACTCGAATTTGGGTAATTTTCAAACAGCGTGCACTGAGCATGCAACCAAATATATTGTTTTCTTTCGTAAGGGCCAATTTCACAAACGTAAACACTGACTTTTCACGAATTGCCTGAGAATGAAAACTCGCTCAAGTAAGCCACCACGATGCTTGTGTGTAAGGAAAGTCCCCATAGCTTATAGAATTGCTGGGTTACATGGATTGACTTTGAATTACAAGATATTTACGAAAGAAACCATTGCTTAAGTTTCCGACATTGGCCCATATGAAGACTTAGGTCAAATCACGAAAATTTAATTTTGACAGATCGATGTCCAACTATACCAGTTATACCACTGAGGAAACACAAAAAAGGGGTCAACTTTTAGTCAGCAGTTTTGCATGAAGTTCCACATATGTTATGTGCTATCATATAGGTTCTGAGGCCCCGGTTTGATGGATGCGGTTTGTTTCTGGCTCCGTTTCGGCTTCTTCTGCTTCTTGAACCTTTTCAGTCCATTTCTTGCCTAGGCAGGTTGGACGTTACTCTTCGATGTTCTCATTTTTTGGGGCCAAATCTCGAACAGAGGCAATTTTCTTACTGACGAAAACTTGGTAATCTTCTGGTCCACTTTTCGGTTCACCGGTCCCGGTGTGTCCTCGAAGGTAACTTCTTCACTGAACTTCCGGGTGGTGGTTTGGACTGCTCCGAGACATACTTCCTCCATTTTCACCAAGTTCCTTACGATCTGCTTGTGCTTTTGGGATTTTGTAAAAAAAAAAAAATTGAGCGATAAGTAAAAACCATAACACATCGATGAACAGTTGATGAACTCCTAGAAGTATTTCACGGTTTAGGTAAATTGCAAAGAAAATCAATATTAGGGTATATGAACCAAAAATACCAAAATATTGTCGTGCGTTAAAATATCTTTTCTCAGCAATTCTTTAGAAAAAGTTAGAGAGGATTCATGAATGTTGCGGCAATTGTTAATTTTGATCTAAAAATATTAGACCCGTGTTTTTTTTATTTCACCATTAGGATGGCCTCTTCCGTGTTAGGGTAGTCCAAAAAGTCAAGGGATCTTAAAGTCTAGTTTTATTAAATCTAGTTTTTAGGAAAAATGTACTACCATTGATTGTAATCGACTTTCATGATTTTGATTAGTCTCGAGATTAAAGGCACATTACATAGTAGGGGGATGTAATGTCGGCCTGAATGCCTCTAATTTGGGCCTATACATAGATTCATAGATCGTTTAAATTTTCAATAGTGACCAAAAATTTCCATTACTACCGTCCCAATCTAGATAAAATTGATAAATAGCAGATTTTTAGCGATGGGGCCAATCTTAGATCCATAGGCCAACATTAGAGCCATTTCCCTTATTTGTTTTCATGAAAATCTGAACTTTTTCGAGTTGGTTGGAAATGCTAACATGAAGCTTTAGTGTGATAATTTATTAGCTAGATAATGATCTTTAGAAGAGGATAGGTGGATAGTTCCGTTAGAGTACGGCAGTATGAAAATTGAATAGAAGTTGAAAATGAGCGAAGGGCCATCAATGCGACAGTTTTTGAAGTCAAACGCATCACACTTTTATCACACTAAAGCTTCATGTTAGCATTTCCAACCTACTCTGAAAACGCTAACTTCGCGTATGAAGTAACATAAAAACACTTTGAACTAAACTTTTTATACACCATATTTTTATTTCTGTGTTGAAATTTTTCAAAAACATTATGTTTTCAATGTTTGCTCATAAGAAACTTCACAAAACGTTGATATTCTGCTATGTTGGTCAATTTTTAAGTGTTCATTTTGTCCATTTCAAAAAAGATGGCATTTCGATAAGCTCACAAATAATCATAAGTTTAAAATTCTTAAAAATAAACTTTTATAGTTATGGAATATTTGGGTTTTTTTTTTCATTTTGAGAGGCTAAAAAATTAGCGTGCATTTTTTTCTGGAGGAGCAAACCAGTTTTCAACATCATTTCGATATGATATGATTTATTGGAGAATATAGATACTCAATTTTGAAAAATTAGGCGCGATTCAAAATGGTCGGCACAAACTTGGTTCATTGTCTTTAGCGAACAATTAATTTACAACAAGTTTTATGGAATTCAGAGAGAGAAAAATAGAATCGATTCGGTTGACGTGGACTCAGTTAAAAACAAGAAACAAGAAAAGCCGAACGAGTATTACTCACCAAGCTAACCAAAATCGGCGAACATGCGCCAACTGTATCTTGGCGGAGATCGACCTTGGACTTGAAATAAAGCTCAAAGCAGCTTCCCAGTCAGTGGAATGTGGCAGTGAATGACGCCAATATTCAACAAAAATGTTGTGACGCACCACGGACTCCAAATGATGAGACAACGTAAGCTCGAGCCATACAACTATATAGCTAGTTTTACACCTCAAACGTAACGGAAAAGACGCCACTACCATTTGAATATTGACTGAAAGATTTAGTATCAGTGGAACTCAAACATGCGGTTGATTAGCACTGTAATAATGTCCATACGTCAGGTGTTAGTAACCTTTACTCTGTTTCATTTCTAATGCAAGCTATAAATCCTTGATTGTAAGTTAATTATAGGAGCATATCTTGATAATTTCTTAGGGTTCGATATATCTGCGACAGATTTCGAAATAGTTCCACAAATCCAACTCATTAAAAACCGATCGCATGCATAATTTCTGTCCGTTTTTTTTTCCAGCGTCTTCCCCATCATCGGCCAGTACAAAATCTCCGACGTTGCGATGATATCGTTCCTGCTGTACGAACATTACGGCCGGATAGTGCGACTGGGCGGTCTGATCGGTCGACCCGATCTTCTTTTCGTGTACGACGCTGACGAAATAGAAAAGGTATGGTATGGTATGCATCTCAGGGGTTGAAGTATGAATATTCATAGCACAATCCACCAAAGCACCGCTATGATGGCAAACCTTTCAGAGTAACCGTTGTTCCGCGATATATCGGAGGCAGACAGGCGGATGATTACGAGAATTCGAATTCCATTTGAATGTTTCGATTTCGTGTGCTTTGCGGAAGCAAAGAACCGGTTTGACGACTACATTTTACATATGACATACAAATTTACTAGGTTTTTGAACTTATAGGACGTCATATCGATTAATTTTTCAACTGCTACATAGACAAAAGCCTTTAACCTTCCTCATCAATAAACTAAACGTTAAATGTCAATCTTAAATCTTCGTGTTCGTTTGGAATTTTTAAAACTTGACCTTTGTCAGACGACTTGTAACACCTAGCTTCCGAACCAAATATATAAGCCATAAAAACAATCACAATACGAACAAAACCCGGTACCAATTCTCCAACTCCATAGTTGATGTAAAACACAATCGAGAAATCAAAAATTCAAAAATTCAAGGTTTCTCTCTGTATTTATTGGCCTGCATAGAAGTCGCTGCTTGCCAACGCGCCTGTTTGTGAACTACTAATTTGCCTACAATCTTCATCTCCATTGTTGTGTGTATCTTTGAACTTGACTGCTGTGCTCCGCTGGCTGTTTGACTTCTTTTTTTTTGTCTCCAGCTCAATCTCAACAAAATATGCAAGCAATTTTTATGACAATCCTCTTCTTCTCCCCGCCACGCAGGTCTACCGCAACGAGGGACCCACACCATTCCGACCGTCGATGCCCAGTCTGGTCAAGTACAAGAGCGAGCTGCGAAAAGATTTCTTCGGAGATTTGCCCGGGGTGGTTGGAGTGTAAGTATTGTTGTTTTTTCGATGGTAACCACCTATGGCCACCAAACGCCGTACGCTGTCAACATTTGATGTGCTTGTGGATGCGTAGTTTCACTTTTTTTTTTTTTTCCTTCTATAAACGATTCAATTTTGCGGTAGGTTGGACGGGGTATTGTCTATCTGGCTTTTTGGATTTGCTTGAGACCGGTGAAAGCATTTACAGCAACACCAAAACGACAACAATGTCGGTGACGACGTCGTGATGGTTACGGTTGGTTGTTGTAGAGGTTATCCAGACGAGGCTACTTGGATTCGTGGGCACTTTCGATTTTCTGAGTGTGAATGGGCTGATATACGAGTGGCTTTCATGATGGCTAGGCAAACATGGGAAGTTTCTTATGTTTCTGTATTATGCTAGTAAAAGATGGAATACGCTAACACATCTCTTTCGAAATTCTAATATATATGAGGTCACATGCTTGAGATATTTTCATAAGCTTATCGTTGTGAGAGAATTGTTGGTTTAGCCTTTTTCCGCTCTTCCGTTGGTCAAAATGTGAAAATCATTAAAATTCAAGTCATACATGCATACCTACGAAACAATTTCGGACCTTTTTCTGTTAGAATTGATATTAACTGAAGTTAGTTTACTGATTTAGCTCGGGGGGACAGCCTCGGCGTTGAAGCGAGTTAAAGCGACTGTAATTTAAAAAAAAATAGTCCATAGTAAAGGAGAACAAATCTAGAGCACCATAACTTTAAACGTCACTTTCTTACTTATCGCAACACACCCTCTCAAACTTGTTCATAAAGCAAATTTGCTCCAAGATATGCTGCTGCTATTACCTGAAAGAGTCTTAATCCGCTAGCAATTGACGTCTATAATTATTGTTAATATAATTAGCCAATAATCACATGTTGCTCTAAACACGTAAATTGAAAAACAAATTAATACACTTTATCCAGAAATAAACATAAAAACATCTATTGCACTTGAATTTGATGTTGCTTCTGATTTGAGGACCATTGTGTGATGTATTCACTGAGCCAGACAGTGCTGAAAATCGTCACCGTTGCTGCATAAATTTGGGCTACTCTGACGACCATTGCAACATCGTCATCAAATGACGTGCGACAAAAAAATGTATCACGCGCTGTCCCTTTTGTATCATTTACCATCACAAGCAAGGAGTAGCGCTTCAACCCTGCGACGGGACTTGACAATCGGGTAGCGATTTCGAGCCAATTTGCTGTCCAATCCGAGCCAGTTTCTGATTGGTCGATTTGACAGTAGCAATCGTGGAATAAAAAAGACAAAGGCATCGTATCAATCTGGCTGGCAGTGATGCCGGAATCAATGTTGATGTCAACGGCGTTGTTTATATTTGCGAAAGGATAGTTCAATAATTTAGTGCACTGCGTGTTTTAAGCGATGAATATTGTTGTTTGTTTATGGTTGTTTTTTATTGGGTTGAGCAAAAATGATGTACAAGCTGCTAAACTGCGGTAGAAACTTCCAATAAAATCCAAAATAAAAGAATAGAAATATTTGACATTCCTGGCATCATTGCTCAACTCCGTCAAATACCACGCACAGCTTTCCGAAGGGCATTCTTCAAAAACATTAAGAAGAATGAGAACCTCGATTGTCAAGTCCCGTCCCGGCTTCAACCCAGCGTAGGTGAATTGCGTTTGTTTTGAAAATCTTCGCTGTTACGTACGAGTGAATGAACAAATGAGTTCATTATTCATCAACGAATACGCGTTTGTTGATATTCACCAGTGCTTGATTATCCAATGCACAATTGTCAAAATCAGAAGCGATTCTCAAGAGCAAAATAATCAAATTCAAATTTAGCAAAATGATTATTTTGAATATTGTCGACCCCAGAATCTGAATCGTTGATATTATCATAAATTCAGCATGAGACAATAATTTGCCATCGATCTGTGTATAAAAACCAAAAACGTTCTTCAGCGCTATATTTCTGTTAAATGAAAATAATCATTTTGCATTTGATCCTCAAAATCATCCCCACCTAGATGAAGACGAATATTAATATTGACAACAACAGAGGCGATAATGAACCTTCAGCCCAGCGTTGCCAGATTGATTCAAAGCTTATCGGTATCGAAGGTATTAAAAAATCGTTATTTATCGGTATTTACTAATTAATTAATTTTATATTTTTGCCGTTTTTGAATGCAAAAATTTTAACGATGGTGACGACTGGGACTTGAGGGGAATTTCTTTATTTAATGGCTTTCTCAGTCTTAAAAACTCTTCGATTTTTTTTAATTTAATTTTTAAATTTATCGTTGCCCTCAAGTGGTGATCTAAATTGTGAGGAAGTAGTTTTTTTTTTCTTTTAATATCATTAAATGAACAAAAATGTCGAAAATCAACCACAACAACGACTAAACTATTGACAATAACAACAAATAATATTTTCCCTTGAAAAATGCCACAACCTATGGCCGAAATGTCGGGCAGATTACATCGTAGTCGCTGCAGTGCTTTAAGACTAAGAAAACCGTTAATCAAAGCAAAATTTCAGCCTTTGAACTATGATCGGAAAACTCTGGAAGAAAACTCTGGGGAATGTTTGAATTAGCTTCTGAACGAAGCTGGAAAAAAATTCCAGGGAAAGACGAAAGAAGCTCTCCTGGATGAAGTTCGAGGAAAGTTCTAAGAAAAGTTAGAAAAACATCCGGGAAACTTCCAAGACACGAATTGAGAAACTTGTGGCAAAAATTTAAATTTTAAAGAAGCCAGAAAAGTTTCGGAAACCGGAAGTAAATTTTCGGAAAAACCTTCCAATAGAAGTCGAACAAAAACACCTTTGGCTTATGATCAAACTACCAGAAGAAGACGAAAGAAGTTTCTAGGAGAATTAATTGAACTTCCTGGAGAATACAAAAGAAACTTCCTGGAGACGCTGGCAGAAACTTCCTAAGGTAGATTGGAAGAAACATCTGAAGAAAGTCGGAAGCCAGAGCGCTTACGGAACAGTTAAAAGAAACAAGGACATAACTCATAAATCATCTCTGAAGACTCCGCAAATGCACTTAGGAATATTGCATAATTCCTAGAAATTCTTTAAAAGTTCTTGTAGTTTTCCAAAAATTGAGGGCTGTTTTGGAGTTCTCTGGTCATCCTCAAAGCGCTTAGATTTTCCCTGATTATAATGAGACTACCAGAATATCTCTAATCAGCTTTGAAGGTCTCTGAACTTTCTATAATATTACGAAATCTCTTAAGCGCTCACATAATTTTCTTGAATTTCATCAGCATTGAAGTTCTCTGATCTTCCCGATTTTTTTCATTTTTAAAAGTTATCGACTTTGGCACTGAAAAGCATAGAACTTCCCATAATATGTTCTCACAATGTTCTTATGTTCATGTGACTTCCCTTACGTTTCCTAAATTTGCATGAGCCCCTCAGGACATTGCTGAAGTTTTCGGAAATTGCCTGAGTTTCTCGGAACTCCTTTATAATTTCAAAAAATTCATTGAAATTAATTGATCTGTCCTGAAGTTCTCTAAGCTTCACTAAAGTTCCTGAAAACCATTGAATTTCCCTGAAGTTCTTTAAACTTGTGAAGTTTCCAAAATATTTATGATGTTTCCTTAAGCTCACTGGAGTTCGCTGGACTTTTCTGAAGTTTCAGAACTTCTTAAATGCTCCTGTAGCTAGTGTGGATCCGCATTAAAAATCTGATAGCATCCTTGAAGTTCCGGGCAAGTTAAAAAACAGGCGAGAGAAGATGAAATAATCGTTTGAGCGAAGGCTGAAGAAGCTTCCAAGGTAAGGTGGAAGAAAATTCCAGGGAAAGTAGGATGAAACTTCCGGAAGTTTAAAAATGAATAAAAACTTCCAGAAGTTATATAATGTTTAAAACATATTTATCGATTTCCTAGGAATTACCGGAAAGAGCCATCGACTATTTCTCGATTGATGGGTAGCCAAAAACGGTGAGGAAATGTAAGCATTAGTCGAAAGAGTATCAAGCATAAGGCATCTTTAGAGGTAATTGTTTAGAATTTTGAAGGGTTAAAAAAATATGAGGTATATAAGTCTCTCACAAAAAATATCTCCGAAATTCGAACGCGTGCAAGGAATAATAATTTTGATCATTAAAAAAACGGTATAAATCGGTATAAAATTTTAAAAATCAGTATTCTGAGGAACCTTATCTGTATATCGGTATCTAGTTTGGAAATCGGTATAAATACAGATAAATCTGTATATCTGGCAACGCTGCTTCACCCACGAATGAAGAAAACGAATGTTGACTTCGATACTCAGAGGTTGCCTTGATCAAGAAAATGTACACTGAACCAATATGACATATTCCTGTTATGTGGAAATCTTATAAATTTGCGCTATAAGATAATCCATTGAAAATTATATGATTGAAAATGTGCCAGGTAAATTCTATATGAATATCTGATACATTTGCAATGCTGATAATTTGGTAACTTTTATATGATCGTCGTATGATAAATGAAAATCGATCAAATTATAATAATTAACTGAAATGGATTTGAAACCCATAAGCATAAGCTACACTTTTCACCACAATATAATATATGTGTCATAAATCAATCGAAGTAAAGTTTGTGTGAAAATCACATGAAATTTACTTCTTCTTTTGACGCATATATTTAATCGATGTCTAAAAATAAATCGAAAAATAAACATCAGGCAGTGGGAGCTTTCACAGTTGTGCCTTTTTTTATTGTAGCTGATTTGGGATTCGATCAAGGACTGTTGAGGTGTGATGCTTTCGGTGTCTGCGCTCGATTTCACTGGGCCACGGCTGACTTCAAGATTGAGCTCGTTCAAATAGCATGAAGTAAGAACAGCTCTCCCGACATGGAATGCAGTGCAACGTTATGCTCGTTTTGCTAGAGTGAAGACAAATAGCACTGACAAATTTATGTTCCGTTTCGGTGGTGTGGTTTGTTCAAATCTTTCTCAATGCACCTGTGTGCAATAAATCAACGACTAAATTATATAAGTTGATGTAACTGGTTCATGAAGTTCGAGTACTAGGGCTGGAATATGAATTAGCCGTGTAGAAGGCTTACAATAAGAATCATAGCAAAGTAAATATTGCAGTAGAATCATTTTTTTTTCAATCTCAATACATTCTTTTCCGGAACCCCTAATCTTATGAAACAAAAACAAACAAAGATTATTCAATACAGTATCATTGTTGTTAGTAGTATTTAGTTCAACTAATCATTTTAATGAGTGTACGATAACATCGTTGAAAATTGTTTCAATAATTTATAAAGAACAATCATGTAAGATGTATTTTATTGGGAGCGATATTCAGCCCAGAAAAACATGCAAAAACAAACGTTTGCTGTTGGATTTCTGAAAAGGCAAATCTATATGACTATTAAATGATTGGGATAGATCTGTTTACAATCTTTAAACCTCAAAAATCAAAGGAAGCTATTCCAATGAGATATACATGTTTTCCTATACTGCAAAGTTAAATGACAGTCCAATAGTTTCTACATGTCTGTTTACACGCGACATATCAACAAACGTCAAAAATGATTAAAAGCAACTCCAATAAAATATACATCATTATCTTATAAGATATATATTTTAGTGAGCAATATTCATCATGAAAACAGGTATATTTTACTGGATTTTCTCATAGTGCAAACTTATATGATTTTCCATTAGTTTCTAGATGTCTGTTCCCACCCATGACATATCAACAGTTTTTCACCATGAAATATATCAGACAATATTCATATACTTCTTACCTATCGCTAACCACGTTCGAAGCAAAGTATTTCAAGTACTAAGTATGTAAAATTACGATAGAAATCATTCCATATCGCAGTCATAGTTTTTAAGTGATAATCCAATGGAATCTATCAATCATCACATAGAATGAATAAATCTGCTGACATTGCTATGTTATAAGATGGATCCAATAAACGGTACATGTCGATTTGTTTCAGTGAGTTATGTCAAAATTCAAATTCATGCAGGTAGTTGGTACATCTGTTAAAGTTGTCTTTATTTTCAGCTAAATAATTTGAGTGTAGAAGATATAATTTTTATCAGCACTGATCACAAGTGCTTCATACACTGCTGATAAACAGTCTATCATTAAAGCATGTTGCTAGTCATCTCCCTATGATCGTCAAGACAAGAAATATCATGTCACTAGGTTTTCGTATAGGAAATTTATACGATAAACACAGCCAGAGGCGTGTTTGCAGCCAAGTGATTAACGATAGAGAAAGTCTATGAAGAGAATCGATCAATGTAGATAGGCTCTTATGCATTGTTTGGGTTGAAATGTCGTTATTGAAATATGAAACGTGGCATCCATGGCGTGGATGGTTCTGTAGACCATGATTTAGACTAGGAGAATGCTTTTAAATCTCAATAAAATTGCATTGTTACTAACACACTAAGTTTTTTCTACCAAGCTTGGCTGTGCAAATCTCGGCAAAAAAAGTTTTACTGAGATCTCAGAAAACATTTAAATTGTTTGCTGAGATTCAGCTAAGCATTATCCGGGACTCAGCAATCAAATGTTACTTTTGCTGAGATCTCAGTGAAACTTATTTTTGCCGAGATTTGCACAGCCGAGCTCGGTAGAAAAAACTCAGTGTGAAGGTTGGCAATTTGCGAGTACCATCAGAATAAATGAAGAAAACTTCAGGAACAAGCCTAAAAATATTTCTGAAAGGCTGTCAACGTCCTCTTTATCCCCAATTTAAGAACTTCCATGACTTGCTTTCAAAGTTTCCCAGATTTACCCTGAGACCTTTGTAAATTAAATTTTATGTTTAATCTAATCAGCATCTAGAAAATAACTATCTTTAATCTTTCAATCACAGTCACGGCGAACAATGGCGCGAGTTCCGTTCCCGGGTGCAAAAACCGGTCCTCCAGCTGTCCACCGTCCGCCGCTACGTATCGCCACTGGAACAGGTCACCGAGGAATTCATCGACCGCTGCAACCAAATGCTGGATGGTAACAAAGAACTTCCGGACGACTTTGATAACGAAATTCACAAGTGGTCCCTCGAATGCATTGGACTGGTGGCTCTGGACACCCGACTCGGATGCTTGGAACCCAATCTGTCCCCCAACTCGGAACCGCAGCAGATCATCAACGCAGCCAAGTATGCACTGCGCAACGTGGCCACCCTGGAGCTGAAGGCACCCTACTGGCGGTACTTCCCGACCCCACTGTGGACCAAATACGTCAACAATATGGACTATTTTGTGAAGTAAGCCAGAGATTCCGCGTCGATGGGTTTGAATAGTGCTTACATTTTAACTTTTTTTTTTTCAGGGTTTGCATGAAATACATCAAGAGTGCCACCAAGCGTATGAATTTGAGTGAAGGACGCGCCCTAGAAGGTGAGCCCTCGCTGCTGGAGCGAGTCATCAAAAGTCAAAAAGACGAACGGCTGGCGGTGGTCATGGCGTTGGACTTGATTCTGGTCGGCATCGATACCATCTCAATGGCAGTTTGTTCGATTCTGTACCAACTGGCCACCCGCCCGGCCGAGCAGCAGAAGCTGTACGAAGAGCTGAAGCGAATCATGCCCGATCCGAAGACGCCGCTAACGTTCCAACTGTTGGATCAGGCTCACTACCTGAAAGCATTTATCAAGGAAGTCCTACGAGTGTACAGCACCGTGATCGGTAATGGACGAACACTGCAAGAGGACACCGTCATCTGTGGGTACAGGATTCCCAAGGGGGTAAGTTTCGAAGTCTTCCATCTAGTTCAACAATTACTAATGATAACGGTTCAAACAGGTCCAATGCGTCTTCCCGAATTTGGTCACCGGCACGATGGAGGAGTACGTAACCGACGCCAAGAGCTTCAAGCCGGAACGTTGGCTCAAGCCTAGCCAGGGTGGAACCGGTGACAATCTGCACCCGTTCTCAACGCTGCCATACGGTTACGGAGCGCGAATGTGCCTGGGACGCCGCTTTGCCGATTTGGAGATGCAAATTCTGCTGGCTAAGCTGCTCCGCTCGTACAAGCTCGAATTCAACCACAAACCGCTCAAGTACGTAGTGACGTTTATGTACGCACCCGAGGGGGCACTCAAGTTCAAGATGACGCCACGGGAATAAACTAGCGCCGGGACATTTCGAAGCGGTGATGGACAAAGACAAGCTGCCCTAGGTTTAGGATTTGATTTTACGTATAGATAACCAGCTTTCCATGTACATAACCAACTTATGTAATTGTTATACTATATCTTACGGAATAAAGATGATGTAATGAACGATCTCGTCCATAGCTATGAAGGGATGGGACAGCTGGCAATGTAATTTCGTAAAGTGTTGCAGCTATCGGTATTGGTCCAGAAGTTCGGTAAACACATCTGAGAACAGAAATCCATGCCATAGAACACCAACACGAATGCATGCGAAAATCATATTTACCTTGAACGATTCCATATTTACACAGCTGATGAAGTGAGCAGCCATCGGATTGCAAAATTTGCTATCTTTAGGATAATTGCTGGACGCTACATACTGCGCCGGGATTTGGAAGCACTGCACGCAACTCGCTACAAAAACTTGCATCAACGCTGGATCGCTCCCCGTTCGAGTTCCGATCAGTTGGAGTATCTTTGATTGGTCTAGAACACCGTTGGCCAGCGTTCCGGTAGCATTCATGGCACATTCGATGAAACACTGCGGAAGATCAAAAATAATGATTTAATCAAAGTTCCGGTTGATTGCTTGCATTATACGAACACTTCCTCTCTCGTGGATCAGTCCCCTTATGAGATGTTCACCGCCGTGAATTTGCTTGCAACCGATCAGTAGACGCTCGTCCAGCAGCGGTGGCATATGACAGCAGTTCTTGGGGTGCTTGCGGGGATAAAAATACCGAATTAATGGTGGCATAATAGACACACAGATCATTGGACCTTTGGTACTTTTGAGCTTTTGTTCTTTCGACCTTTTGTTCTTTGAACTTTTGTCCTTCGACCTTATGTCCATCGACCTTTTCTCCTACAACCCTAGATGTACAAAAGGTCGAATGGAAGGACAAAAGGTTGAAATGGACAAAAGGTCTATAGGAGAATAAAATGGGTGGCTAACTGTCAAATTTTTAACCTTCTTTAAATCATGTACAGGTTTTTGGAAAATGATGATAACAAATAGTTACTGTGTGTATTAGAGTGATGCAAAATTTAAAATTTTCGCTCCACAATACTTAAACGATTCCAAATCGGATCCTGACTAACCTCTCAAAATTTGAACCCATTTGGTGAGAAACTGAGAGGGCACAAACCATTTGAAGTTTGTATGGGAATTACTATGGTAAAACCAAGATTTTTGTTCATGTCTATCTAATAATTCACCATATCGGTCTGCTTCAAAAGCTTTCAACTGTACTTGTAGGAAATTTTCCCAGCTACAACTTTGCCGAAGACCATTTTTTGATTAAATGCAAGGATCGAAAGTTATCAATGGTTCAATGCGCTGATGTCTTATGATCATGCTCAATCAACTGCTCAGCAGGCAACATTGGTGTTTCTGGGGCGTTGAATAGGACACAAAAATCATGGCTACTATGTAACACTGCAAAATAAAGTGTTGCCTACAGAGCTGCTGCTTGATCATATCATAAGTTTACCAATCTTTTAAATAATTAATTAATTTTTGCTGTCTCGTTTTACATAGAAATGATTCTCAGCAAAGTTGTAGCTGAGAAAATTTTCTATAAGAATGGCTATCGAACTGTTTCGCAGCTCAATATGGAAAAAGACTAGAAGGCAATGAACAAAAAATTGAGATTTCCCATAGTAATTTACATGTAAACTTCAAATGGTTTGTGCGAAGTCTGTTTCTAACCAAATGAGTTGTAACTTTTGAAGGCTAATCAGGACCCTATTTGAAACCAATTAAGCACTGTGGAGCGAAAAAGTCAAATTTTGCATCAGTCTACTGTGTATCAATTAAGAGACAAATAACTGAATTTTTCTAGAACGAATTCATTTTTAATCATAATCTTTGAGAATATTTTTTTTATGTTCTTTGAAACTCTGAGCGAAAATTTTAATAAACAGTATTTTGTCAATTTTTATGTTGGTTTTTTTTTTATTTTTTTGTCCCTTCGACATTTCGTCCATTTCGACCTTTTGTCAATTGAGATTTTTTTTCCATTTGACCTTTTGTCCTCAAACTTTATGTCCATCGACCTTTTGTCCAACCCTTTTGTACAACTCTAGATGTACAAAAGCCCGAATGGACAAAAGGTCAAATTGACAAAAGGTTGAAATGAACAAAACATTGAAATGGACAATAGGTCTAAATGGATAAACTGGTCGAATTTTTGGAGGATAAAATGGGTGGCTACGTCTCAAATAATTGTCCTTCTTTAAATCATGAGCAGTTCTTTGGACAATTATGATAACAAATAGTAACTGTAATCCTTCGGAGTTTTTTATGCTCTTTTATGAACAATATTTTGTAAATTTTTATGCTGTTTTTTTTTAATGTTGTCCTCTTTGATCTGTTGTCCATTTCGACCTTTTGTCCCTTAAACCTTATTTCCCTCTAACTTCAATGCGACCTTTTGTCCATTAGATTTTCTATCCATTCGACTTTTTGAGCTTCTAAGTAAAATTCGACCCTTTTGTCCATTTTGACCATTTTCCATTCGATCATTTATACATTCGGCCTTTTGTCCCTTCGACATTTTGTCAATTTAGACCTTTTGTTCATTTCGATTTTTTTTTCTCCATTCAACATGTTGTCGTTCGACCTTTTGTCCTACAACCTGAAAATCTGGGAATACATTTTTTCCACCGACATTTAGAAGAAATTTAAAGTTTTGTGAAGATGTTTGGTGACATGTTGAGCTTGAAGAAGACTTTTTTATGTTAAGCTATTTTAATGTTAAGCAGCCATGTGAAGATTTATGCCATAGAAATGAAGATTTTGACATAGTGTTTTTTGTTTTTTTTTTTTTTTCCTTTTATTTAACGTCGGTCTCTGTTCCGCAATCTAGTGCCAATCACCGACGGACATCGATTGCCATCCATTGACGGCAATCGAATGTGTAGGAAGGCAGCTTCCACACCTGCTTAGGATATCGCACCCATTCAACACACATACATGGGGCGGGACCAACGGCTTTACTTCCCTTCCGAAGGAAGACATGACCAGAGATTTTTATGCCTCAGAAAATTCCCACCGACCTCGGCTGGGATTGAACCCAGACCCATTGGGGTGAGCAAGCAGTCACGGTTACCACTACACCACCGGCGCCGGCTATGACTTAGTGTTGTACATGAAAATGTGGGTTATGAATAATGTAACCAAAATAATTTATTTTTTAGCATAATACATAATCGACTGGAATACTCACAGGACTATACTGAAACCTTCGATTAGTTGGAGATCTTTTGAATACATGCTGATCATCGTGCCACTTAGGTAGAATATCTTGCTTAATATTTGATTTTTTGAACTGTTGAAGATCATCGCACTTGATTCACCTGAAGCCTTGAAAAATACCCAGAGGATCATTTAAAATCCGTTAAATGAACAAAGTTCTCTAAAGATCTACGAAATTTCTTGAGCATCTACGAAGGATCCTGTACTTCCATAATGTTTGTTGAACTTACTCAGTTTGATAAACTCAAATGACGCTCCAGCTACAAGTTACTTTTCAAACCATTGCAATTATACGAAGCTCCCTGAGCCTCTATGAAATTCGCAGAACTTGTGGAAAGTTCTACTAACTCCTGAGAAGTTCCATCAACTTCTACAAAGATCCCTGAGCTTCTAAGATTTCTCCGTAGTTTATACAAACTACAACTGAATTTCTACTAAGATGGCTAAATCTTTTCAAAGTTCCTATAACTCATACAATGTTCCATGAACATCTACAAAGTTCCCTTATCTTAACATCTAGAAAATTTTCACAACTTTTCTCTTCTTCTTCTTCTTCGCATTTCAAGCTTATTGCTTGTCGCATATTAGCTTATTGTATGCTCTCAACCTAGTGATCTAGATGCACTTCCACAGTTATTAATTGAGAGCTTTCGATGCCTGTACCATTTTTGTATTAGTATAATTGTGTGGCCCGAAATATTCCTAGATCGAACCGGGAATCGAACCCAGCCACCTCCAGCAGAGTCTTGCTTTGTAGCTGCGGCTTTACCGACTGAGCTAAGGGATATTTTCTCTTCCAATTATTGTTTTCTAATTTCTCTCAATTCCGCCATGATCTCAAAATATCCATGACGTTCTCCAGGGAAGACCGAATTCTACGAATATGCCTAAACATCTGGGCGAAACAAAGTTCCCAAAACTTCCAGTAATTACCCAAATTAAAGCCTGCAGTTCTTAGAAGTTTACTGAACTTCTGAGATACTCCATGAACTACTACTCAATTCCCTGAACTTCAACGAAGTTGGTTGAGCTTCTACAATGTGTAATGAGAGAGAGAAGGATTAGTATTTTCCATTTAATTCCACTACTTTATTTGCTTATCCTTGACAGATACGCGTATTTCGTCTACAATGTGCAGACTTCTTCAGTGTCTTGTACTAATACTCGACTATTAGTACAAGACACTGAAGAAGTCTGCACATTGTAGACGAAATACGCGTATCTTTCAAGGATAAGCAAATAAAGTAGTGGAATTAAATGGAAAATACTAATCCTTCTCTCTCTCATTATAACGATGGATTGTTGAACTTTGCTGGCTCCGGTGGTGTAGTGCACAGCAAAAAAAATGTAATATCGATCAACGCAATTCAAGCTGATGTATGAAATAATGATGTAATTGTAATTTTGTAATTTATCAGCACACACCCTGGTCGACCACTGTAAACCAATCTGCCGTTCAGCGTTTTCGGTTTTTGTTTCTGGATCTTTAGTTGCCTCTGTGATATACTTACTTGCGGCATACTATTTTGGGAGTGTATATGAGCGTGTACCATGTACGGTAGCTCATCTCTCATCGTGATGGTGGGACATAGTAGACAAATTAGAGAGAAAACAAGGAGGTATTAGTATTAGTTATATGTAAACAAACAAAACAAAAGTTAGATAATGCGGCACTGTAACTACTACTATTTTAGAGGTATGATTCGTCATGTTTAACTCAATGTTTCAATTGAGGCAAACTATCTATCTTACAATTACAAAAGCAAACCTAAACTTACAATTATATGCAAATGCAAAATGAAACTTGACAAATCATCGTCAATTCCCTTATTCCAGGGCAGGGCCTGACGATTTGAATCTAATTTTGATCAGTGAACGGGCACCATATGGTACATTTTCTCACCATGAACCTATCATTTCCAGCCTATCTGAACTATTTAATAAATGGAAGCCATAACATGGGTTACGCTCCCCCTAAGCGGCCCCCTGCATCCTGTCTCTGTCTTATCTCAAATACAAAATGTTAATGGTATGAATGTATCTGTACATCAAATCCATGTATCTGTATCAAATACAAAATGCCAATGGTATGAATGTATCTATGTAACTTGGAAATGACGTACAATCAAATAAACCCGTAACCCACTCACTTGGTCAGGCTTCAGAATCGTCCAGTGGGCAGTGCACTCTACACTCCAAGTTCCCTTTTTTCAAATTTACCGCAAATTTGATATTTTACCCATTGAGTGTTGATTAGTCACAATGAAACATTGTGACAGATGTTGAGGTTACTAGTGTATTAAATAATCTAGGTCCTATTTAGGATTATATCTGAAAAATCCAAATCTGGCCAACGCCCACCCTAAACCTAAACCTGTTCTAATCCACCTGAAATGACTAACGAATGGAAGACTTTGACTACCCAGCCATGCAATAGTCTCATTCCGTGCCTTATGGCAACT